CTGGAAAAATCTCCAACTTTCGAAACTTTTTTATTGCTTTTCTGAGCGTTGCACGGTGACCACCGGTCGCCAGAAGTGGTACGGCCATGGTCGTACCAGTCGTACCGACTCCAGCGGCCCTGGTGTTACAAGGCGAGGATGCACAGTGCTCCTGACTACAACCATAACCCGGTTGGCAGTCCCGGTCTTGCAACCATTAGAACCGTATGGGGAAAAGTCAACCACCGCCCCCTGGAATAAAGAGGGTCCGAACCGGGGTTTTTTCCCCATACGGTTCAAATGGTCGCAAGACCGGGACTCTGCCAACCGGGGTATGGTTGTTGTAGTCAGGAGCAGTGTGCGTCCTCGCCTTGTAACATGTCGTCGACTTCGAAAACATGTTTAAAACCTATCAAGCAAGGAAACAAACAAGGCTTCTATTATACCAGTCCATGCATGATAGTCTCTGCCTCTGGTACCATGCGCATGCGCATAACTTATGCGTTTGTGCATTGTTCACCAGATCACGTGCACGAGACGAGTCCACGCAGACTCCACAAGGGCACTTACGTATTATGGCGCACACGTACAACATCTTTTATTCTTATACAGTCAGACCTCGCTTATCCGGTCCTCTTTTATCCGGATCTCTCGCCATCCGGAAGAAAATAGCTGGTTACAGATTTACAGCATGCGCGGTGCATCCAACATAACCAGTGTTCGGTTATCCGGCTACCTCGCCTATCTAGATATTTTTGTGGAAAACGGATGTGGGCGGTTTTAAAAGCGAGGTCTGACTGTACATGGTATACGCACTAGGATCCAATCCTTACCGCATGCAACGACATGTATATGCTATTCACACAGTCGTGACCACAGCTACGAGTATGCAGTCAGTGTACGTCACACTACTGTTGTGATCATTTCGTTGGGTCTGCATCCAGATCCCAGAGTTGACAAGATTCAACGGATTCTTTGCCACAAGACGTTTGTACTGAAGTAACTGTCACGTGTTTGGGGGAGGGGGTCACTGCTCAATTCATGTGCAAGGTTGATTGTTATCCCCTGCAGGGTCTGTGCCCATTCCTGCTTTATTAGATTTACATTCTGCTCAGCTATTTTTCTCAATTATGATGGTAATGTCGACAACACTCAGAGTGCCCGTTTCAGGCGAGGCTCTTACCCTGGCCGATTTTGTCCATAAAGGAGCCACTGATGCTTGTGATGGGGCCATCAATGGCAAGGAAGGGGCCACTAACGCCAGTGAAGAGGCCATCCATGCCGGAAGAGATGAATCTGTATCTCAAGGTAGAGCGAGCTCAAGATGAATTTCAACTGATAGCAGTCCCAGGACTGAAACTGTGCATTGTCTTCATGACGAAAGCAAGATTGAATCACCCGTCAAGCGTACTTATGTGACGAGCTTCTTCCTTTCCTTGAGGAGGAGCTCCGGGACCTGAAGGCAAACGGTCTGGAAAAGTTGAAGATCCAGAAGTCAGTCATCTGCCGCTGTTCGTTGCAACAGTGATCCGTGCAAGCGTCATGACAAGCCCAACTGCCAAGAGCTGGAGTGCATACACTTCGTCCCGCTCATCGACAAGATGATCCTGGGCGAATATCATGTTCGCCATGTTGTGTGTTGGCCGTCAGCTTGTTCTCTACCAATTGTAGTTCAATTGTTTTGCTTGACAACTGACTTTCTGTTGGATCCGACCAAAAATGAAACCTCGAGCTTCTCCAAAGCGGATGGGGATGTTATGAGCTATGTCAGTAAGAGCCTGAGACGTGGTCTATACGAGGATGAGCGCGAGTGTATTATGAAGAACTGGCCTAGACCAGAAGGTCTGGTCCGGATTCAATACTTGGTACACCCTCCATTGATAGCGTTATCCATAGCCTTCTGAAAGCCTCAAAGAGAGACTAGCGGAAAGTGGAGTCATCCTGATATAAGGTCCTCAATGGCGTAGCGGATGCCGCAAGACCACAGTGTAACTTGGGGCAGACCAAAAGGGATTTCCAAAAAGAGGGTTCATCCCTGGCAGAGGTGTCATAGTCAGCTGCGGATGTGCTCCCCGCCATTCAGCGTTCCAGAGTATTGATGACAGTGGTTGGCACGTCGGTATGGATGGGACGGCGGGAGAAGATTCTCCAGGACACGGGACCTTCTTTGAAGGAGAACGCAGAAGTCTTGCCGGAACCGTCAGGCAAACTGTTCGGTTAAGGCCTGCTGGACATGGTGAAGGACGAAGCCAAACTGTCCCGAGCCATAGCCGAAGTCAGGAAGCCACTCGGCATACAGAGGAGCCAGCGACCACGATCTTTTGGGCAAGCGCAGGTTGGCCCCGTACAGCAGCAACAACAGTAGTTATCTGCAACAGCAACAGAACGGGAAGAGTTTCCAGGACCGCCACCATTAGCTCCAATGCAAATTCCAGGCCATTTGCAGCAGTTTCTTGCAGGCTGGGAGTCAGGTACTCAAGACTTTAAGTCTTCGACCGGTGGTAGATACAGTGTAGTAGTAGTAGATACGGTGCAGGGATAGTGTCTAGACTTTCTGCCAGTAACCCTGCCAGCCACTATTTGTCACTACCCACCTACCTACCTACCAACCTACCAACCTACCTACCTACCTACCTACTACCCACCTAGCTACCTACCTACCCCCCGTTGTCTGCAAGGACTGCAACGGTGTGCCCAAGCTCTCAACAGCCAGGTAACTGGTTCACAGCATGATAGAGAAGGGAGCCATTGAGAGTGTGCCCTCCCCCCCCCCCCCCCCCCCCAGCTAGATTACCGTATTTCCCCGTAAGTTAGTTCTCCCCAATGACTTAGTATCCCCCTATAAAAAATACACTTTCCACTGCCGAGGTTATCACCCCGAAAGACAGCCCCCCCCCCCCCCGAAAGATAGTAAGTTCGTACCCGTCCTACATGTACAGACACCGTACAGTACATACATCATATGCACGGACACTAGAGTTGCGCAGGCTTCCCACTGCGTGTCATTTACCCCCGATAAAAAGTACTCCCTGAAAGATAGTACCACCCCCGAAAGTTAGTACTCATGTGGCTGCTAAGTTCGAAAGTTAGTACGTACTAACTTACGGGGAAATACGGTATTAATTTTAGTGAGTCTATTCCTTTCGGTGGCCAAAAGATTCAGAGTTTTAGACAAGATGCGGCCGATATCAGACCTACGTCACCTGGACACGTGTATTTGATACAAACACTTCAAGATGGAAGGGCTTGGCCTGGAGGTTAGATAATATTGCCCCCCCCCCCCCTCTGAGCGTGAATCCTGAAGGTAGTGTGAGGAATCACAGCATAGTGACACCCATCTGGGTCCTTTGCCAGCGAAAAAAGGTGAAGAATGAAGGTGGGGTGGTGGGTTGGGAGGCAAGAGCTGGACGAGCCAGCATGGTGCCTACTTAGCGTATGCGAGGTACAAAGCGAATGTAAAAATCAAGTAAGGTTTGAATTGCTGTCTGCGGTTGGGCAACAACTACAAAAATAAAAACATCATATTGGTGATAATCAACTTGTTGTCAGCGGTGTTTGGCTTGTGCCAATGGAGCGTGTTGTCACACCATGAGGATAGCGATCATGAGGTTCGCTCCGTGTCAATCTAGTAATAACTCACTCATCTTTGTTCAGTCTCTCTATGCTATCGTTCAACGTGAAGTAAAACCCTTCTTCCTCGTCCGAATCATGACGTTGCTTTGCTGGCTGGGGAATAGGGCTTGAAAGTGCTACGTCTCAGCCAGGCCGGACGCATGCCAACGCTAAATTCTGGACCCACTTGAATCCAGTTTATTGTATGGATCCACACACGCGTGGGACTGTTTTCTTCACAATAGGCTGACACCTCCGCTGGTATTGATTGGAATTATCTTCACTGGGAGTTTTATACTCAAAACAGCTGTATGACGGAATTGAGTAGCAACAGATGTGTCGCTTTGCTGATGGCGGTGTGCTGTGGCAACGTGTCGAGGTCGGCTGGAGAGCGCAGTTGTGGTGTGGTGGTTGATGGAGAAAAGTATCTTTGCGTTAGCATTTTAATATAGCACAAGCTGGAAATTCAGTGCCAAGTAAGATCGACGCATTTCAGGATTGTTTTCGATTCCAAACATAACACCAGCGTTCAGCCTGCATGGTATCTGCCCAGAAGGCACCGTTCGGCATTGGCATGGTATGGGTGTTGGAAGCTATATGTTAAAAGAACCACAATAATTTGTGTGAGTGACTGAGGAGTAAACAAAAAAGAGAAAAAATGCCAGAATATTGGCCGGCTGAAGGAAGGCCAGCCAGGCCGGCTGACACCCAGGCCGTGGGCGTACATGTAGTATGATCATAGACTTACATGTACCGTTGAACCGGTTGGTTACTAGAACTTCACTCATTCACACATACACATCCACCAACCGAACTACTGGCCTCGAAAAATATTCAAACGACACCTGCTGAAAACGGATCGCTGTGCCTCACTATTCGCACCCTTCTCAGTTGCTTGTAATTGTGCGTGAACGTGCATTACAAAACTTACCAAGAAGACACCAAGTGCCAGTGTACGTATGTAGTTATCACGACTCTACTATATCTACAACGGTGATAGCCACTAACAACATTGTCTAGGCAAACCAGGTGGAACAAGACAACACCAAAATAACTAAGCTTCGACTATCCCAACTGGAGACTATCAAGCCATCCCACCCTCAGTGGGACAGTCCCGCTTTAGCAATGTACGTCAACTGGACGTTGAGCCGCAGAAGACGGTCGCCAGTGCGGGCAGAACATTTCCCACCACATCGAGACCTCTCCACTGCATACGCATTGCAACCGGACAACCTAGCAAATTATTCCCCTTGCATTCGGCATGTTTGCCGTCGATCTACGGGTACTGAAACTGACCCGTGACCAGTTGGGAGAGAGACCTGGCTTAAAAAGAAGCAGGCCTGCAAGGTATGACTGTCAACACAAATAGACATAGCAAGACAAGTTTAATACCACAGTAGTGCACAAACCTCGCAGTGCCAGGCTCTGTTCGTCTACACGCAGGAAGAACTCGCCGAAGATGTCATCCCACCTGCCGTCCTCCATCCAGCGGTGCAAGAACCTGCAAAGAGCATCCACAACAGGGGAACACCATCACATCGCTAACACTGAGCGACGAATTTCCCATGCAGAAGCCGCTGAGCACCACGCCAGAGGAGAAATACTCATAAGTTCGTGCTTGAAGGGGGGGGGGGGGGGGGGGGAACACACGTGCATGAGAAGCAAAAGTAGTCAGCGATGTGACAAAAATCACAAAATGCTACTTGGCTGTAAGAAACGAGGACCCTCTCGGCACTACATTCGCCAATGGTCATGTGCGAATCAGTCTTGGAAATCTCAGCAAATGCAGTGGCTGAATGGGACACACACAAGTGTTGTCCATGGATGCTGGTACGTACTGAAGGTAAGGTTGTAAAGCAGTGGCAAAGAGATGAAGCAAGGCCGCGTAGTGCTGTGAATGCTGGTGTTCAGACGCTTGCTTGTACAGAGAGGAAAGCAAGGCACACGTCTGGGGAAAAAGAGGGGAGATATACACACACACACACACACACACATACACACACACATTATCAAGGAGGCAGGACCATCAAGCACAAATTATCAAGGAGGAGACACCATCACGTACACATTTTAAGGAGGGGAGACCACCACAGACAAATATTCAAGGAAGGCATCGTCTGATCCGACGGGATCCGTCTGTTCTTTCTTCTTTTTTTTTCTCCAGGTATCCCCTTTTTTCTAGCTCTCTTGTGGCATGCTGATGCTGAGACCAATGATGAGTGGAGTGCCTCCAGACTCACTAACAGTCCAACACGGCTACCCTGTAGCACCCACCTTCCCATTGGTCTCTATTGTCATTTTCATGTTCTCCCGTTTTCCCTTTTCCGGTGGGGCGGGGCAGTGCTAGTGAAGTAAAAATATTTAAAATAGAAAAAAATCTCTCAAACCAGTGATTATAAAAAAAAATGAAAGGAAACCACCACACACACATTATCAAGGAGGGAAGACCACCACATACAAAGCATCAAGGAGGGGAAAACAACGCACACATATCTATTGCCAATTTTTGCCCGAGGCATAGATGGTACCGTTTGGTTGCCAATTATTCCACGAGGCATACATTGCACCTTTTGGTTGCCAAATTTTCCGCCAGGACTAGATTGACTAGAATTTACTTCGGTTGCCAATTTTTCTACGAGGCCTAGATTGCACCACCTTTGGCTGCCAATTCTTCCGTGGGGCAAAGATGGCACATTTTGGTTTAATTTTTTTCCGCGTGACATAGATTGCATCTCTTTTTTCTTTTTCTTTTTTTTACAGTGCAAACAGTATGGGGGAGGGGGGGCATAGCCATCTTTGCTGACAAAACACATGCTGCACACAGTACATGTTAGTGCCTTTTCTGACAGCCTCACTAATAGTAAATACCCCATTGTACAGTGATCAATAATTCATACTTGTGACTGGACTGTACATGACAATGTGTGTGTGTGTGTGTGAGTATAGTATAGCTGTGTGTGTGAGTATAGTATAGCTGTGTGTATAGTATAGCTGTGTGTGTGTCTTACAGGAAGTAGTACATCATCATGGTCATCAGACGGAGTGGCTGCAGCAGCTGTGGACACTGCAAGAATGAACCTTGGTTCATACAAGCACACACAAGCATACACACACAACATATTAAGCATACCACGTGCTGTAAAACTCCTAGCAACATCTCCACAGAGAAAGAGAAAGAGAGAGTGTGTGTGAGAGAGAGAGAGAGAGAGAGAGAGAGAGAGAGAGAGAGAGAGAGAAAGAGAGAAAGAAAGAGAGAGAGGGGGGGGGGGAAGAGGGAGAGATAGAATAGAGACAGAAAGAGAAACTATAGAGATACAAAGAGTTGAAGACTGTTGCACAATACTAAGAACAAACCAAAGACTACAAAAAGGGCAACGTCTCATCAGTTTTAAATACAACTTACAGAAGTTGGCGACCAAGCGGTGCGATGGACGTATGTAAAGACAATATGTTCCTTGAAGCCGACTCTGCAGCACCGTATACAGCAAGCACACAATAATAGAAATGTTTATCACCGAAGACAATGCTGGTGAACTACAGTCAACTTTGCGTAAAATGACAATCGGTGGGGCATCAGAAAAGTGTCCTTATTCGCGAAGTGTCCTTATACCCGAAGTCTCATTATATGTATACAGGTATATGGGAATATGCTCTGGGCATGGAAATTCTGTCGTTATTCGTGAATTGTCGTTATATCCACAGTCATTATTAGCGAAGTTGCACTCGTGCCATTGAACAGCTTGAACAGCTTGAACAGCTCGAACAGCTTGCCATGCTAAGAAATTGGCACCATGTGTGGTGTACTATGTAGAAGTGGTCTCTCTGGCCAATAAACCCATTGAATGATTCCTTTCGGTCTTCACTCCCCATAGTACAAGCACACAGACACACATACATGCAGCCAGAAAGACAGACAGACACACACACTCAGACTCAGACATGCCCATCGCTGAAGCGATCACAGCGAACAGCTATGTTAGACATAGCAACGTGTGCACACAGACACAGACACACACACACAAACAGTCACACACACACACACACACACACACACACACACACACACACACACACACACACACACACACACACACAAAAGCACTTACTATCTCCAGTGCACAGATCGAGCAGCGCAGCACGATAGCACTGCAGATAGTCCAGCAGGCCATCGCAGAACGCACGCTGTACCAACGTGTAGGAGCGCGGGCCGGTGACGAGACGCCGGCACATGCTACCAGCGTCCGTACGGGTTAGCCTCAGCAAGCGACGGTAAGCATTGCCCCACGTTGCAACTGAGGAAAGTGCACGCTCAAGAGCCAGACCACTGAAGCCGACCACATGGCAGCGTTCCAGCTTGAGATGATCACCCTGAGAGAGTAAGACAGAGAACAAGAAGCAGCGCACACAGCAAAACAAAGACACTATGACATCCACAGAAAGAAGTAGACACAGCACCAGCTACTAGAAAGATTCTGCAAACGAAAATTCGAACGAAGTTTCGCGACGGGACTTGCGAAAATGTGTACGAATTTTCGCACAAACTTTGTGTTCTGCGCATTTTCGTAGTTTGCACGGGCACGTACGCCATGACCCGATCTCACGAAATTTCCTACGAAAGTTCATTTTCCGTTCCCTGCAAGTTTCGCGTCCAAAGTTGCGAAAGTTTGTGCGAAGTTTCTGTCTTCATGACACAGAGCGAAAGTTTGTACGCATTTTCTTTTTGCAGAACCTCTCTATTAGAACTGCAATTCATATGCCACTTCATACCACATTTCTGTTGCTCTTCAGTCTCTCTTGACAGAAGAACAAGAAATACTCATTACTCAAGCATCCCACCCCATGTTCTAACATCTACGGTTTATGAGCACAGCTGCACAATGCTGCAGTACATACTTACTGAATCACAGGAGAATGTCTGTGATGGAACACCAAGCATGGCGACGCAGCAGTCATGGATGATCTGCGACTGACTCGTCACCTCGATAGGCGTCGACGAGCCAAGGTGCATCGTTTCCTCCAGGACGGCATCCATCGCAACTGACCCAGCCTCACTCAAATAAGACTGACCCTGCGCATCCGAGACACGAGATAGTGCGAAGGTGGATTGGCTTCTGCAAAAGACAAAAGAAGAAAAAGACAAGCAAGGTTAGAAAAAAGATTTGGGAAAAGAAAGCTGCTTAAGTTGTGTGCCATGAACACGAAGATGAAAAGCAGAGCGAGAAAAAAAAGAGAAAAAGCTAGCAGAGGATGGTTTCGATCCATCGACCTCTGGGTTATGGGCCCAGCACGCTTCCGCTGCGCCACTCTGCTTCTCGGTGATGCTATCATAGTTTTGTGAGCATATATTGCACAGGCATGTAAGGCTGTGTTGACACGAGAGTTTTGATTTCTCTTCTGTAGCTATGGTTGGTGGCTCCATCTGGGCGGGGTTGGGGGGGGGGGGGGGGCACAATTCCCGTTCCCTTAGCCGGTCTGTGGAGGTCGCTGTGCGGGAGAACTCACCCGGTGGTGGGATGACTCCAGTGGATCAGGCAGTTTTCGCCGGAGGCCTTCTGGCCCTGGAGAAGCCCCCCCCCCCCCCACCACCACCATTGATATCCGTTGGTCCTTGTGTGGACTCGCAGCGCCGTTTCCCACAAATATGAGCGGAGTAGTGGTTGCCGGGAGGTTGTAGGTGGCAAAGCGGATTGCGCTGCCGTTCCTTTACCTCCTGGTCATGGTCGGAGTTCTTATCTGACTCGATCGACTCCTCTCTGCAGGGGGTCCCTTCTGCGTACCAGCTCTTAGTTGAGTTCAAATCGGGTCGAGTTTCAACCAGACATGAACACAGATTGATTGGAACATGCACATGGTGCATTGCGCTTGACCCGGGTTTATTCATTTTTCAACCCTCCCTAGGGAACCGCACAACCACACAACCGTACTTAGGTGCGTGTTTTCACGCCAGGTTTGCACAGCACTGCACAGGTAAATTGAACGTTGCTACGAGTCTCCGGTGAGATATAACTATGTCTAGCCTGTCAAATATGGACTTTTCACGCTTGAACCCAAAAGCTTCTTTTTCTTTTTCTTTTTTCCCGATAAGTGCGCATGCTCCGTCCCTTTCCCTTTGGCCTCCTTTCATGCACAAACGAAAGCTTGGCAATTTGTCTCTTCCCTATCTTGCGGATTTGGAAGAAAGCTGCCAAAGTTGGGCGCTGTGAACCAGCGAGAACATAATGAATAAAAGCAGAGTGAGAAAAAAGAAAGAAAAAAGCTAGCAGAGGATGGTTTCGATCCATCAACCTCTGGGTTATGGGCCCAGCACGCTTCCGCTGCGCCACTCTGCTCCTCGGTGATGCTATCATAGTTTTGTGAGCATATATTGCACAAGGCATGTAAGGCTGTGTTGACATGAGAGTTTTGATTTCTCTTCCGTGCCTATGGTTCGTGGCTTTATCTTGGTGGAGGGGGGGGGGGGGGCATGATTCCCGTTCCCTCGGCCGGTCTGTGAAGGTCGTTGTGTGGGAGAACTCACCCGGTGGTGGGATGACTCCAGTGGATCAGGCAGTTTTCGCCGGAGGCCTTCTGGCCCTGGAGAAGCACAGCCCCCCCCCCCCCCCCCCCCCACAATCACCATAGGTCCTTGTGTGGACTCGCGGCGCCGTTTTCCACAAATATGAGCGGAGTAGTGGTTGCCGGGAGGTTGATATAACTATGTCTAGCCTGTCAATTGTGGACTTTTCTTACTTGAACCCAAGAGCTTCTTTTTTCTTTTCCTTTTTTTCGATAAGTGCGCACCCTTTCCCTTTGGCCTTCTTTCATGCACAAACGAAAGCTTGGCAATTTGTCTCTTTCCCTATCCTACGGATTTGGCAGAAAGCTGCAAAGTTGGGCGCTATGAACCAGTGTGAACATAATAGAGAGGGTCCGGAGTACGATTTTTCGTGCCAAAATCCGTAGAGGCGCTACGGATTTTTTATACGTCGTTTTCGCGCAGCGAAATGTTCCGGGGTACGGAACTTATGTGTTTGCCGCCATTGCCTAGGTTACGATCGCACATTCCCGCGCTATGTCTTTTTATTTTGAAAATTTGTACCGAAATCAAAACTTCCCGCGGAAAATCGATGTTTCTCGTTCCAAATTTGTACGCGAAAAATCTTTCTGCACCCGATAACGCAAAATCTCCATACGAAACATGGTTCGCATGGAAGCCAGTTCACACGGATTCTCCGTGCCGAAAAATCGTATGGAGCGCGCCTCGAAAAAAATCTGTAGCGCCCATACGGATTTTGGCACGGAAAATCGTACCCCGGAACCTGAAGAAAAGCAGAATGAGCAAAAAAAATAAAAAAACTAGCAGAGGATGGTTTCGATCCATCGACCTCTGGGTTATGGGCCCAGCACGCTTCCGCTGCGCCACTCTGCTCCTCGGTGATGCTATCTTAGTTATGTGAGCATATGTCATATTGTACATGGGATACATGTACCGTAAAGTACCGCCAGAGCGCCCCGTCTCGCCAGAGCGCCCCGTCTCGCGAGAGCGCCCCACCTTGATTTTACAGCCAGAGAAAGGAAAATCGTGCAACGAAGTGTGTACGATGTGGGAATCTTAGTGTACTAAGGTCACACTTGGCAGGTTTTTGTGTGGAGCTTGTGTCCGCTTGAAGGTACGAATTGACTGCAAAACGTCCAATATGTGTACAAGGTTATTGTCGTATGACCTACAGACAGCAGACCACCTCCACAATACGACCACGAAAGGATGAGATTGTGGGGCGCTCTGGCGGTACTTTACGGTACATGTACTACCTACTACCAAGAGTACATAAACAAGAGTGTGCAACTCGGGATGGTTCCTGTGGGAGCGTAATTCGTGCAGTACGTCACTTCTGACGGCATGGTAAGCCACAGGTACGGTGAATAGTTGCGTAACCAGTCACGGTGGTACAGGTCACTGAGTTTGTCCTGATTTCGGTTTTTTGACACGAGTAGCATGGTGAATTTACTTGCCAGCGCATGTACACAGCGTGCGCAGTCACACAAAAACACCGAAATCCTAAAAAAAACCTTTGCATTGGCTTCTGCCATTGGACGGTGAAATAAAATAAATAAATAAATAAAACAGGACGTCCAAACTATGCAAACTTGGCTGATTTCCGGATTGTGAAACATGAAAATTTGAGCTGTACGCAAGTCGCGGCTTGGCTGACCTCATCAGGGTGACGAAGTGCACGAACTGCGCTGTTTCAGATCTGATATGCGCAGTTGCACACTCTGGTTTATGTACTCTTGCTACTACTAGTACCTCGTTCTGGCTACTGTACACATGCACCGGGTACATGGCATCAACCAGGGCGAGAGAAAGGACGTGCAGAGGAACGGGGCAGTAAAGAGGTAATGTTTAGCAACGCACCGGGATACGTGGCTCTACAAATGTAATGACAAACAGTCATAGCATCCTTTTCTTCTTTGCCGTTGTTGTCTGGTCTTTGCAAGGCCTTCACTCAGCTTTCCATGGATACAGGTTTTTGTGATAAAACAATATCCCTGACTGGCAACAAAAATCGGCAGTTACACTGGCAAAGGGCTGCGACGTCACGCTCTGCGGCCTTTCTTCCCCGAGTAACCTAGACAGACGGCCGAGGCAGAGTGAGTCCACACGAGTACACTTTGCAGTGTGCCACTTTATGCAACATGCCGCTCTGAAGATTACACAACGTTGTGACAGTAGTGCCCAAACTGATCACACGCCACCATTACATTACATTACAATCAAGCTGAAAGCAGCTTGTTTCCGTGGACCAGTCAACATGCTTACACGTACCAATGCGCACCTAAAAGAATATGGCAGTAGTGCACAAACAAACAAACAAACAGTCCTCCACTCAAGGTGTGGTGTTTCGTGTGCCAGTCAGAATTGCATGAATACTTCAAAGTAGTAATATCAACATGATCAATACACCCACCGTGAATCGACAGCCGACTGCTGACGATGAGTAGCAAGCACGTGATGGAGACGATCAAGTGTCGCCGAACTATCGTAGGAGCTTGAGCGCAGAGAACTGAAGACATCGGACATCCTTGCACCAAAGCAACAAAAAGAAGATCAACAAAATCATTCCCGACAATGACCCAGAGCGGATATATCGGTTGGGTTTTCTTCTTTTTTCCTTTTTCGAATGCAGCACGGACACCAATCGAATGGAGTGTCGGTGTTTGACGCTATTGGTGAAATGGCTGCAATGGAGTCTGCGCACCCCGAAAAGAAAATATTCACCACCCCAAGTGCCACAAACATCTACAACAACATGAAACTGATGCGTGATGTTGACATCTATGGCGGCGAAGATTTGGAACATGATGGAATCTCAACGTGCAGTAATTGAAGAAGTGTACGGATAGCCATATAGCATGCTGGGACAATATCAACCTTTCCCCGCTGCTGTGATTCACAACTGTACTTTGTGGGTATATATATATACAGCTGTACATGCATCCAGATTTTTCTCATCACTGTTGTCCGAGGATCGTCCTGTGCGTGAAACTCGGAATTGTAGCCGGCTGGGCCGACACAGTCATACGTTTAGCTAGCGCAATCCAATCTAACTGCAACACACTCGATGCAGCACGCAGCTTGTTTGTGTAGTGTAGAGTGGCAGACAAAATGTACAACAAAAAAGAAAACACACACACAGACACACGCACACAGACACACACACTGCCGTACGATACCTTGCTTCCTCTCCATCTGTGGGATCCTTCAAGTGCGGGATTCTTAGCTTGTCGCCAAGCCTAGCAACTTGACCATGTGTGAGTGCTCCAAACAAACTTCCATCGCCACTGTAGACGGACTGATGCTGCAAGCAAAACGATATAAATCAACAACTGCAATCAGCATATCCCACACTGGTATACAGTTTTGACAGCACACATTACGTGAATAATTCGGACCGCTACCAGCCAATGTAGTCCAAGTGGGTGGATGTGGTGTCTATATGGTGGAGGTGAGTTGACTCGATCCAAGCTAAATGAAACAAATGAAACTGCTTACCTGAACTTGCTGCATCCAGTAAGGACGCGAGCAACTCTGTACAAGTGAAGGACAAACGCGTCAGAACAAACAGAGAACAATAACAGAGCAAAATGAGGACAATGACATCATAGCAAACAGAGGACAATGGCGTCAGAGCAAATTCAACAACAACACACACACACACACATACACACACATGCAGTGCACAGAACCATAATCGTAGGTTAAGATGGCATACTTTCAACCAGTCTTCCACAGGTTGACCTTGAACGGAGAGTTCACCACACTGCTCATGCTCTGCGTTACTGGATGATGGCAGCGAGGAGAATACACCACTGCAGAATTGATAGACACACAGCAAGGACACATGACAAAGACACACATAACCCGACAATTACTCAATCTGCGGATAGAACTCTCTCGTGGACTCATCAGCGCAGCACAAGGAACATGTGGCCGAACCTGATAGCAATGAAAAATAAATTTTCTACAGCCAGACCAACCAATTACAACTCAACGGCTATTGATCCAAACAACACACAAGGCATACTAGCATGTACATGTACTCGTGCACTACTGCATGACTGCGTGTACATTGCACACCACTAACTACGCCTGTAACAACTAGCGTATAGAACGCCGTGGATACATGTCGTTTTGTTGAATGTTTTTGACAGCTGATAAGCCAAGGAGAGAGGGCATGCTTCGAAGGCTACCGTCCTCCCACCATGCCTCGTAAGCTGCGGAAGCATTCTACAACAATACGGCCGGGCTTCTTTACTTCTCGATATTCAGTGCAGGGTTCAACAAACATTCAGTACAGCATGTCATAGATAGACCATTTATGTACTTTGGTGATAGCACCGGATGTAACGTACCATTTGAGGACCTTGAACATGCTGCACCAGGTATTAGAGCCCAATATAGAGATACAGTGAAACCTGTCCAAGACGACCACTCAAGGGATCTTCAAAATGTGGTCTCTGTTACCAGGTGGTCTCCTTATCCAGGGTCATTTGACTGGAAATAGCATCCCTTGATCCTGGTTTCAGTGGTCTTCTAGGACAGGTGGTTGCCTTATCCAAGTGGTCGCCTTGACATGTTTCACTGTACAAGGTCATGATGTTATGGCCAGTGAAGGTATGATGGTACTGTGCTCTATCGGAACCTCTAGACACATGGCCACTCGCCACACTAACCTGTCATATTGCATGTAGGGACGGGGCCGATACACATAGTCCGCAATCGGCTGGTGTGTCCTGGCCAGACATGTGTCAGAATAGTCTAGCGGCCGGTGAGTTGGGTACACCGGTGTGGACTTTTATCACAAACACACACACACACATATGCACAGACACACAGACACACACACACACACAGATACACACACACACACACACACGAATGCATGGAGAAGCGCACACACGCATGCGTTTCCACATGAAGAAACGGCAGCGAAGCGGCAAGAAAGGAAAAGAAGAACAGTCAGATGCAACACTCTTTTAAAGTGGATACAGGGGGCAGCCAAATAACTATTGGCCAGTTTATACTCCCTTAGGAATCACCTTTTAGCTCTTGGTATAAATGGCTGGAGTATTAACCACTTACTATTGTAACTACTGTAGCGGACATGGAAATCCAGTCGATTGACCGGGGCCGGCGCCCTCAGCCTCAAGAATGACTTTGACACCTCTCGCCATATGCCCACGTCCCCAGAACTTACTCACTACTATCCACTTCCGTCCATCCACAGTTGGCCGCATCCTGTTTGCTCTCAACCGCAGCAAGGTCACTGAAAGGAAGTGTCTTATGACTTGAGTTCACGGACTTGTGTCTTTGCAGGCGAAGTAAGCTTGCGAAATTAGTTTGACCTCCAAACTACCGTTCGCAGAGGCACACTTTTGTACTGAGCCTCTGTGGCTCGGTATATCGATGCATACTTATAGCTTTAATAACAATCTGTCTTTCTATGCACCGGAATGTGTATAGTGCACGCAGCGTTGACAGCACCTTGCCAGCAATGGCACTGTAAATGTGCCGGTATCTCTCACCTCGGATAGCTGCAATAGAGTTTGAAGACGCTGGCGTTGGTACGCGAACGCCAGACCACAACCCCGCTGCACATCGGCAGGCAAATCCGGCCGCCCCAGCTGCAAGAGGAAGCGAAGAATGGCCGGCCCTTCAGCCACTGCACCTGCCGAACAAAGGACGCGAGCAATAGACAGTATGCACAATATCCTTGTCATGCCGTCCATACTGAGACAGTGGAATGAGTTAGTTAACAAGAACACGTCATGGTAGTGGTGAACTTTTCTTGCGCCCAAACCAGATCACACGACGCTTGCGGATACCAGCCCGAACAGTTCACCAGTCACACTCCACGACAGCTAGTAGTTGCTCCTGACAAGTCTTGTTTCGTTCCATATTAAGATGACGGGAACTCATCATGCTGGTGTCTGCAAGCGTCGTGTGGTCTCGTCTGGTCACAAGAAAATCTAACACTACTATGAATTGACGGACCAAAATGAAGATGGCAGCAACAAAAAATAACACGTCATTTGAAAATAACAAAAAAGAAGCTGACGCAAAACTCGACCTGGGTTTTGAGCGTCAAAGGATACAAAAACAACAGACATACAGTGAAACAAAAAAGAAAGCTTCCCACACCGGGAATCGAACCCGGGCCGCGGCGGTGAGAGCGCCGAATCCTAACCACTAGACCATATGGGAGAGGCAACAAACAATCACTAGAACTTCTTAATCAGCCTTGAATCGGGACCATAATTATCTCTTCTGGGGCAACAAGCGCATGGGCAGCTTGGGGTGTTAGCCGTACCGGCCGGGGTCTCAGCCGCAGCCCCGTTTCGAGCCCAACATTTGCACTTTTGTTGACATTCGGAATGCAAGCCGCACATCTGACTTTGAATGATTCGGCCATCCTAACATAATGGGTATCTGTATGTGTACTTCAAGTACTTACAAGACGTTACCAATGGTTAAAAAGTTGAAAAGCATGACTGAAGTTTTAACAAAATTCTACTCGTCTGTCCTCTACTCTGAGCTGACAACATGTAGGAGCTTCGTGCTGCTATGCAACCCATCATGTATTGTACTACGTGAAAAGTAGCTGAATGACACCACACATGCATTATATGCATGGAGCAGTGTAGTGCTGGTCGAGTTGTCTCCAGCATTCGGAGTCTAAGCCTGCAGGAGCGAGTCTTATCATGTGTATTTAAAAGTGCGGCTAACACCCCGGTACTCTTGATGGTATGCGCTGGGAACAGACTAGTCATCAAATGTCAACTGAGATTTAAAAACACTAAGGGCAAAAGATCCTTAGAGCCAGGTAGCTTGTGTGCAAACTTTCCACTAATACATGAACATGATGTGGATATCGCCGCAGCTAGGATGTTGTTTTGGATATTATTATTATTGAATCTTATTTTACTAGGGGGCTCCCAATAGGCGGGGACGCCTTCTGACAGGGAACCCAAGCTTGCAGAGCGAGTGGATTTTTTCAATTGCTATGGCAGGACGTATGCATGTATGCTTATCATCAGCATGACGAGTACTACGAATACTGGTGCTGTTGGGTATGCATAGGGCATTGTTGCAACGACAGTGCCTACCCTTTCACCATTACTTGGACTGACAAAGACCTCAACACAACAATTTTCTGAGAAAATTCTCAACCGAAAGCACTTTGGCAGAGCGATTTCTTGGGCCTACCAGTAGGATGGCAGGCAAGCCATCACGTGATAACATTACTGTGTGAATATGTATGTGAGTGGCACGCTGAGTGTGCAGCTTACGTATACTACATTTATGACATTGAAAACAAGTTCCAATGATATGTAGGTGCTAATCTTTCACAGAGGCAAGTTGCCATGCCATATTTCTGTGAAATATTTCCTTGGCTTGGGTTTCAGCACTATCTGATGTCTCACGTCTAAAATCGAGAACAGATACAAGTAGATGGTAGTACATGCAGATGTACCTTCTGATGACAACTTCTTGAAAAGAGAAACTTGTGCTTGAAGCTCATTTGCCCGGTCGTATTGACCCTGTTGCCTCCATGCCGAACAGATCGAGTCGATATCCGACTCGACATCCTCTACAACCGCAGCAGCATCCTGCTGCACTGACTGACTCGAGCCTCCGCAGAAAAGAGCTGATAGGCCTTTGGTTTTCAAATCGTCGTGAACCGAATCATACTGTCCAAACAATCGCAGTTTCCCTTCCAAGTCGTCAGCAATGTGCAGATCAGCAAGCCGCCCGATGGCCTCTATTGCCATCTCTTACCAATAGCACTTCGACTCAGAGGCCTTGCGTTCCTGTAAGCTGCTGAGTGCTACAAACCAGAGCTAATAAACGAAAGCAGCATGGATCGCTCCAACAATTTTCGTAACACAGCGAAAATCCAGGTGGTCATGATCGACTTCTTCATCTTCTACAACAAACATTTCGCGCGGTTTTTTCGATTTGCTTGTGCGCATGTGACGTAGATATCTCTCTTGTGATTCGTGACCATGGTGATTCGGCTCGAGGCGCTAGGCCTAGGCGCCTACAAAGACAAGTCACAAGGCCTTCTTGAATCTTCTTCCCGTTCTTCTTCTACAACAGTCCTGCCATCCTGGTTTTGAACCCAAGCCCATCATGACCAAGGCAAGACGGTACAAAGAGTTTTACCAGAGAGTCATCAGTATCTTGACAACTCCAAGTCTTTCACCTTACTGTCAAACACTGATAAACTTTTGGCAGATAGACTAATAAGGCTACTCAGTCTGGGCCCCACACAGGCTATAGCTATCTTACAAAGCAGAGCGGCTAGAGCCAGGAAAGCCTGGTGACCGGAATCGAGGGCACTGGGGTCAGCGGACACTGGCGTCGAAGCCTGAGAAGACGAAGGACACTGGAGTCCCTTGGAGACCAGAGCTGGCGGACACCAGAGTGAGTCGATGTACGCCAGAGTCGGAGGACACCGGAGTCGGAGACGGAGGGTGACACTGGAGTCGATGGAGACCAGCGTCAGGGGACGCGGGAGTCGACGGAGTCACGGCCACCGGAGTCGGAGGGCAAAGTACAAAGGAGTACTAGTAAGCGGAGAGCTACGTGCACCGTTGTACAGTACTGAGTATATTGAGGTGGCAGCGGTCGTATGAGACAAGTAGGGGCAGACACTCCGATCCAATGACATACAACCTCGAAGCTAACAGGAAATACAACTTACAAGGAAGGGGTGTGGGGGGGGGGTGGCTACAATAATAACTTGTAGCACTTCCCGCAAAGCTTCAGCCTGGCTTCAAGTGTCCAGTTCACCACCATCCGTGGCACGCCAGCGGTTCCTGAACGCAAAGCTAGTAATAGAATCAGATCTCTTCTACCTGATTTTTTTACTAAGGCCACAGCTTCCAATCATGACATGCAAAGCAGCGATGCATCATCATTTCTTCACTGCCTTGTTACTGGGGAGAGAAATCCCGTTTGGATTCGCGAAAAATGCAACCATCCTCATCATCAATTCAGAGTCTACGGTGGCGGGTACTAGTACACAACGCAGTGCTGCTTGTACTGAGACTTAGCCAAGCAAGCACATGACCGACCGCGGTATACTATTTCGGGTGTTCACCTCCCTCTTCCCAGTCCTTACCTGCCCCTCTTACCGATCTGACCTCAGTGTCTCTTACACAAGTCTGACCCACATGTACACCCCTCCTCCTCCCCCCCCCCCCCCCAATATTGTCTGGCTGAGGATCGGATTTAGGGTGAAACTCCAGGTCACAGTTACATGTATATACATGTAATGCAAAAAGCTGCTCGTATCATATATGGCTCAAACTGAAGGGGTCTCTCTTGACCTTGTTGAGCAAAGGGGAAAACACATTTCAAGCCAACTACAACGACGTACAACGTACGTGTTCCTCCTGTAAGAAGATCCAAGGTCTGTTGACGGCCCTAAGGGTAGCAATGCACGCAATACTCATAGCGTTTAACGGTTATAGGATGGTCTTCTCTAACTTGAGATCACGTATAACCTCTACCCTGCTCAACCTGCTTATGACACTGCACTGTTGGAGTGTTGCACTGTTGGAGTGTTGCACTGTTGGAGTGTTGGTGCAGCAAATTGGCAATGACTACATGTAGACACAACATCACTGCAGCAGTCAATCTTCGTGTGCCAAGCCTAGCACCTACATGTGTCATGTATGATATGAGTACATGTATCACGGTCTCGTTGTGGCCGATCATGGCGACACAGCTACTAGCCAGCAGAGGAAGCTGACCGACTGGAGATGCACCAGGTACACCATGTACACAACAATCAACATGACGGTATATTACACGGGGCAGAACAACAGAGACCAAAAATCTTTCGCGTAAAGCTCTGCCCCTTTTTGAGGTATTGAGCACTGTTTGCAGCGAAGACTCCAGACACTTTGACTGTATTATTATAATAATGTACCGTGCTAGACGATCTCAAGACACGATGTGAAAATAAGCCTCAGTTGCCAACCATGCTGAGCGCTGGTCAACCGCACTGGGAATAGAACCTGTTACTTATTACATGCACCATGGTACAGTGTGTACGTGTACGCCTTCTTGCGTAGTTGGCAAAGACTGAATCACTACTTGGAGTAGGGTCAAATCGTTCGCACCACTTACGCCCCGAAGGGGCAAGCTTAGCGGAGCATCGTCGGTGTATTGATTATTGGACAGGCTGGACCGGAGAGGTGGATGGTGGAGGGGTCGGGCCGGTGGAAAGATCGAGAGGAGGCAGTGACAGTTCAGGCTACACTTCCTAATCATAGCCTTGGTGTGAATAATGAATGTGACAGACAGGACCACGGGGCACCAATCTACTGCATGTACCACCATGTGTACAGTGTACATGTACATGTATATTGTAAACCGCCCTGTCATCAGCCCTGCTAGCATGCTCGTTTTCCGCGTGTACATCGTACGCCGTGTTGACAGCCGGAGACCGCGGAGTGTTGTGGCATTTTGACATGTACTGAGTATTCCGGTCACGTTGAAGCTCGCCACCAGCTTGCAAATACACAAGGCCTGCTTGAGCAAAGTGTTGTCTCACACTTCCAGTTCGTAATGATGTCGCTTCTAGCAGCAGACTGCATTCTGCCACATTGTACATGTAAACTAGTCAATACTACTTGTACACAGCTCTAGAGACTCGTGAGAGGCCGCATGCAATCGCCTCATCACTAGTCGCCGCCAGGCCAAGTCGATCGTGGAAGGTGTGATTGTGTTTTGTCCAGCGTGAACGAAGGCAATCCACACAGTGACAAGTCTATTCATAATGGAGGATTACATGCACCACAGTGTACTAGTAAGCAGTCGACAGCACAATGTAGAGTCGTTATACTCGTGTAGTTCTTGAACTATGCTCATGAGCAGGATGGCTTGTTGGTTACTGAGCTGCTGCTGGTCGACCACTAGTTGTAGCTTTGTTGTTTCCGGTGTGCTCTGAAGTTGTTCAATCACAAGTGTGGCTCACTCTCACTCTCTCCACCACGTTGATTTCTAGAAAATAGCACGATTACATGTAGACTAGCTGTCGTGTATGTGGTACGCTAGAGTATAATATATTATGGCTCGTCATCAGGACGCAGGCCTGGCTGGACGTGTGTGTGGTTCCCATGCCCCAGCAAGCAGCCTGATCCTCTCTTGCCAATCGACCACGTGCTCTGCAGGTTGACGGAGACGAGGAGGTGATCGACCCATGTAATGATCGAAGCAGCTTCAGCATTGCGGGTCCTCTCACACCATGTGTGTACCATGTCGCTACATATGTATGGCAGTTGTGACTCTTGGGTACATAATCAGTCCTTCAGGCTTCACATCAACCTGTGGTAACACATTACATGTACTCATTAGTTGAAGGAAGAACCTGTCGACGAATGAGTCATACTGCAGCAGCCTCATTGTCCAAGCTGCTGCATCAAGTGGGACCAGTCACCTGCAGATGGATGTCAGACTCAGAGAAGACCAGCAGCACAGTAGCCCGCAGACTGTAAAAGGGATGGAACCAAGGCAAGAGCAATCAGTAAAACCTGTCAAGGTGACCACTGTGATAAGATGGCCACATGCCCCAGAGGACCACAGCAACTGAGGCCAAGGCCCAAGGGGTGTTATTCTCCGAGATCGGCAGTGTGACTCGTTGGCCTTGTTACCCGATGGTATCCTCAAACACTGGTAACTCAGAGCCAGTAATGTTGCACTACTAAGGCCCCACTGCTACATCTCGCCAACTCTGCACCTTCCCACATGCACGGAGTCTGTCACAACGCATGGATACCCCCCCCCCCCCCCAAAGCACGGCAACACAAACAAAACACCCAGCAACAGGCATTGCTATTGTGTAGTCACGGATATACTTGACCGTTTACATCTACATGTACATTGTGCTGTCATTGTGTTCGGTATACTCAATCAGTTGTGTACCGACTTGTAGTAGGATCCTGGCTATGCACTCTTACACGCATCCCCTTGCAACTACATGTACATCTACACTGTAGATGTACATGATACAGTATTGGAACACAATTCGAGGTGTGTGGTGGTGGGGGGGGGGGGGGGAGGGGGGGGCATGGGGCTTGGGGGCCTGGACCTGGTGTTTGCCGGCGTTCTAGGGAATTAGCATTTTTGAAATGTATGGAGGGGAGCACTTTCTCGTGCCTCCTCGTATGGATGGTTGCGGCTGAGGAATCTGAGGATGGTCCTTGCCATTTGGAGACATTACAACACTGAACAGCGATTGACCGCTTCCCAAGACAAGGTTGTCGCCTTTCCTGAAGCGGGTTCCTGGCCCTTCTGATATTGTTGCGTGTGTGCGCGTGGGTTTTCTTCAGCTTGTTCCATCAGTATCTGCATGCCAGTCTTCAACGCTCGCTTGGATGGGCCACGCTGAATACACATACACATATCACGTGGGAAGGCGGCGCCGGATGTTAGATGTCGGACTGCTGACTGCACTGGAAATGCAGGAACGGTACGGTAGACCTGGGACGTGAGAGTGGAATCAACCACGAATGCGGAGTACAGCGCAATTGGCTTCGAAAGCCATGTCACGCTATAAATGTGTCTATTGCTGGAATTCGACTGACTTGGAAATTTGGTCCATGTAATGATTCCATCCTGGTTCTTGCCCTTGAGTGTGTGTCAGGGCGTCGTATAAAACGACTCACTGGTGTGTGTCAAACAGTGTGATCGCGTGGGCGTGCGTGTGTGCCTGTCCATTACTAGTAGCTGACGGCAACAGCGTAATACGCCACTAATGGCCCGTATCGTGAGTGAAGATGTGCTAAGAATAGCTGCATTTGACGCCATGGACATCGCCAGTCGTCCCCATCGACCACCTTGTATTGCACAGACAGTGCTAGTGCTCGTCTTGTAAGCTACTGTATAATCAAGAGTGACAAAAGTGGTAATGTACATGTACATGTACGACTCATACTTTGACTATGGTGTCAGTTAGCAGCGACGAATCACTGACGA